CACAGGCCCATCTGTGGGGCAGGGGATCTGCACCTCCCCACCCCCACCCTCAGCGGGGTCATCGGCCACAGGCTGTGCCTCCACAGGGCACATGGTGGGTGGGTTGCCTCGGCTGAGGCCAAGGAAGGGGATTTCCGTCTCGAGTTCTGCTCAAGATCAGACATTACTGGCCTCATGATCATCGATCTCTCATAGTCTCCTTTCAACACGTACCAGTGTCTTCCACACGAAGTCACTCAGGAAGGGGCAGGGAGAGGACAGAAACTCACATGCTTTTCTGTTTCCCTGTGGATCTGGATGGAGACCAGTGAGGCTGATAGGATATCCAGGAAAGGAGAACAAGCAGACTTGCATTCATCCATTCAAACATTCACGGCGCACCTAGCATGTGCCACTCATTGGAGCGGTGCTGGAATTACAACCATGAACAAAGCCCAGACACCCATGATGCTTAGTCTAGTAGGGGAAACAGATGATAAAGGAATCATGACCAAAAAATTTCAGATGTGATGAGAGTTATGGAAGGAGAAGACCTGAGCGCTATGACAATATAGATCCAAGATCTAACCCAGTCTGGGCAATCATGGAGGACTTTGCTGTGGAGGTGACCTTTATGTCAAGACCCAAAAAGGAACAAAGTGTTATACTTAACTTGAGGGTGGGGCAGATAGTGAGGTCTGGAGTGGTCTCCACACAAACCCCACTGGGTTTGACTTACCTCTTGGCTGACGCACTCGGGCCTCAGAGCAGAGATGAGGCTGTCCCCAGTCAGGACTGCTTCTAGGACCTGGGATGGGGGTCTTTGCAGGAAGAACCAGGGGCCCAGGCAGGGATGAGTAGGAAGTAGCCTCAGGAAAGAGCACAGAACTTAGGTTAAGACTTCGGGTTCTAGAGTCCAACCAACCTGAATTTGAAGTTCAGGGTCACCACTCACTATTCTTACCTCACATCTCTGAGTCTGTTTCCTCATTGGTAAAATGGAGGTAAAATAGTGCCTCTTTCATAAAGTTGAGCGAATTTTCAAAGACAATACATGGGGAGAGCTTAGTGTGGTAAACACAGTAAGTACTAGATAAAAAGTGAGATTTCCTGCTTTCAATTATTAGGGCTGCAGTGAAAAAAAAAAGGTACAACGTGCTGTGGGAACTGACTGCCTCCTATCATTTATCTTACAGTAACAATTATTTAAAAGAAACTCAAACTGGCCAAACGCCACATGGTGTCTCCAGGAAGAAATATTGGAGCTGAGCCTGGAAGGGTGGGTATTTGACATGCAGAGATCAAGGCGAGGTTTGCAGGCAGAGGGGGATGAAGAGAGTCCCGAAGACCAGAATGGGTGGGGCTCGGGGAAGGAGCAGGCCCAGAGCGGGGGAGGGGAGAAGGCAGGCCGCAGGGCCCTGCTAAGAAGTTTTGACTTCCTCCTATAAGCCATGGCCAGGCTGTTGAAGATTCTGGAGCAGCTCGATGACTTGGTGGGGTTTTTGTAGGCAGAATGGCAGTTGCCTGAGAAAGAACAAGGCCAGGCGAGGGACCGAGGAGGAGACCAATATAAGCGTCTAGAGCAAGATCAGCAAATATTCTAAAAAGGGCCACCCCAGACACCCCCATCACCAGCATGCTCAGTGCTATTTCTTGGCCCCATGCCTTGACATATGCTAGCCCCGCTGCCTGGAATTCCAACAAACTCACCCTCCAAAATTAACTAAGTCATGCATTCATTCAACTCATACTTACTAAGCACCTACTCTGTGTCAAACTCACAATCCTTGTTCTCGTGAAATTGATGGTCTAGTGCAAGAGTCAGCAGAATTTTTCTGTAAATTTTTTCTGAGAATAAATATTTCAGGCTTTCAGGGTCAAAATGTCCCCATCTCAAATACTGGACTCTGCAAAGTTGCCCACAGACACTATGTAAGTGAATGAGCCTGGTTATGTTTCAATAAAACTTTATTTATATAAATAGGCACCGGGCCAGGTTTGGCCTGAGGGCTGATCGGCCCCAATAGAAACATAATGTGAGCCACAAACATGAACCATTACATATTTAAATCACACATGGAATTTAAAATTTTCTAGTAGGCATGTTTTAAAAAGTATGGAATTTAAAATTTTCTAGTAGGCATGTTTTAAAAAGTAAAAGGAAATGGGTGAAATTAATTTTATTATATTTTACTTAATCCAATATATCCAAAATATTACCATTTCAAACCTGCAATTAGTGTATAAAATCATTAATGAGACTTTTTTTCCTAGTATTTTTTATGCTACAGCTTTGAAATCTGGCATGCATTTTACTCTTATAGTACCTCTCAATTCAGACCACCACGTTTCAACTGCCAACAGCTACGCATGGCTGCTGGCCACAATGCCTAGTGGAGGGGGGCTCCTGCCTAGAGAGGGACAAGGAGAGAGGACAGGAAAACTATTTGACATCAACTGAGGGCACGAATTAATTTGGATTCGAATCCAGCTGGGCCACTTGCTTGCTGGCTAATTTCAGAAATGGTTTTTAACCAATCTGGGTCTCTTTTAGGCCTAAAGTATCAAGTGGGTGGTTGCCTTCAACCCCTAGGCTCCTGTCAGCTCTATCATGCAGAGATTCTGGGATTCAGAGTTTGCCAGAAGCCGTCATCAACTGGACTTTCTTTGCTAAAAATCATCTTCCATAATACAGTCATCTTGTGAAGATCAGGGTGAGGCTCTCTGTGGCTACTGCCACCACTCATCCCTCCTGGGGCCTTAGAGGATGCTTGTCTGCTCTTGAGGAATTGGGGGGATATAAGGTGGGCGAGGAAGAGGAGAACCAGCCTCCCCAGGCTCTTGGGGGAAGTGCCTCCCACACACACATGGACACACATGCACAAGCACACACACGGGAACCTAGCTGTCCCCCCCACCCACCTCCAGAGTGACAGCTGTGATCTCCAGCCCATCAGGGAGCAGAACGTGGGAACAGAAATAGACTCCACCTGAGTCAGAGGATGAGTCACAATGTTCTGTAGAGCTTCAGAAGGGAGCAGCAGGAGGAGCTGATGGTGGGGAAGAGAGCCAGGCCCCCAGGGGAGAGGGAGGAGAATAGGCTGGTTTCCTGGGCATGGAGCCAAGGAAGAACGTCCTAGAAGGAGTGGGGTCCACTGCCGCAGGCAACTCGTGTCCTGATGGAGGGCCTGTGCTGGGGGTGGGGGGGTGGCGGGGAGGGGGTACAAAGTGGAGGGGAAATAGAAGGACATGGCTTTTGGAGGGCCAGAAGGGAAAGATTGAGAAAGGGGTGTATAGAGACTACTCTGAGCACACAGGCCACAACACCAATACCTAGCTGCTTCGTTCCAGAGCCTCTCATTACAAGAGAAGCATGTCTTGAAGCCTACCCTGCTAAGTGAGCTGCTAACCTATGCTGAACTGGGGAGACTGAGGAAGAGGGTATCCTACTTGACCCAGGCTGGGCCAATAGGGTGGGGTTACAGCCGATGGCAGAGGACCTGAGAAACTCACAGGACGGAGGTCCATGTGGCATAGACTCAGTGCTGGGGACCAGCCATGCTGCCACATGGGGACTCGGACAGCTCGCCAAACCATCAGATCTAGGTGGCAGGCTGGCAGAACCATGGGGGAAGGACAGGATGAGGACACCCTCAGGAGAAGACAGGGATCAGGAGGTGAGGGGCCAGCCTAGTGTGACCTGCATCAGGGGCCTGACCACAGGCCACCGTGGAGGGGAGGGCATTGGGCACAGACATAGTGAGGCCTCCGGAGTGTCCCCACACCATGGTGCTGGGTCTGATTTACCTCCTGGGCTGACACACTCAGGCCTCAGCAAAGGGACTAGGCTGTCCCTGATCAAGACTGATTCTGGGGCCCAAGAGAGGGGACCCTGAAGGAGGAGCACAGGGCCCCAGGCATAGATGGAGGAAGCTGAGGGGGCAGAACTGGCACCTCCAGCCCATTCCCAATCTACCCATTCTGTGCTCACTGTGTTCCCATCACCCCTTATAACCCTCATCTTAGTGTGGGGCTCCCCCAAAGCAGAGCTTGAGACAGGGACTTTGGGGCAGGTAATTGATTTGGGAGTTGATCCCATGAAGCATGAGTGAAGGAGCAGAAAGTGGGAGACAGAGAAAGGGCCCCAGCTTCCCAAAGGGGACATTGCTGAGGTCATTCTCAGAGGCTCGAGCGCACCAGGATTCCTGAGAAGTATGCAGAAGGCCTCCTAGAACTCCCCATGTGCAAAACAGGAGGCTTTATCCACCACTTTCCATCTCCTGTGGTTGAAGGTGGCCCCCAAGAGAATTCATGCCCTGCTTCCCCTGCCCCCTGCAGTTCTGGAGAAAGAGCTGGGAGAGAAGGAGGACAGACATGGAGTGCCCCAGAGTGGGGATGAGGTGGCACTCTGGAATTCGAGTGGACGCCTGAGGCCCCAGCCATGCCCTCCCAAGGGCCCACTGCACCTCAAATAAAATGCAAACGCCCTGGCACGGGAAGGTCTGGCCCCTGCCCACTTTTCCAGCTTCCTGTCTCCTCACTCATGGCGCCATAGCTGGCTATACTCCTCAACAGCCCTCTTGGTCTCCTCTTCATTCCCAGAAACCACCACACCTAAAGACTTCGCCCTTGTTCTTCCCTCCACGTGAAACTTCATGTGCTCGGTTACACGGTCGACACCTTCAGGTCCTTCGGGTCTCACCAAAAACACCCCCTCCGTAGAGACAGCCCCTGACCTGACCTTCCTGCCTGAGGTCCGTTCTTCTGTTAGGCTCTCGTGGATCTCCAGTGGGTGCTGGAAATGTTTAACAACCAGCTCTCCATGAAAAACAAAAGCCTTGATTTGTTGTGTTTGCCAGTTTGGGAGCTTTTAGTAAAGGCTCTCGTCAGAGTCGATGTCAAGCTGCGGGTGTCAGGAAGGGAGACACGGTGATGTACAGTACAGAGTATTTCCACTGTATGGATACAACAGGAGTAAATCGTTTAAAGAGCATAGATAGGAGTAAAATAATTAAGAAGTTACGCATTTTATTTTTTTTATTTTTAACATAATTTATTTCCTTGTAAATTTGCCCAAGTTAATTTTTCATAATGCCTGCATTTAACCCCCAGCTCACGAAACTCCTGAGTTTTTAACAGTTGTCTCTCGTGAGCTGAGAGAAGTCAGCTCCAAAACCACTGGATGTCACCCCATTCTTTCCCTCTGTGCACATTTTAGGGTGTGTGATTATTTTTTTCTCCTTGCTTTCTTCTATGTATGCTGGCCCTCTAACATGTGGGTCCTGTGAGGGTAGAAGTTATGACTGATTTACTTCCAGATGTGTCCTCAGAGCCCAGCACAACACCTAGCCTACAAGAGAAATTCAGGAAATATTTGTCAAATGAAAGTATTAAGTGCATGAATGAATAGGCAGATGAAGTCGATGATGGCATAAGGTTGGGATCTCTGCTATGGACAGAAGAGGGACCACTCACCTCAAGAGACACGCAGTAAATCCCACAGGGCTTGCTCCTGACAGGGTGTGGGGAGCAGGCAAGACAGCCAGGCTGCAAGGAAAGAGAGATGAATCTGAAATCACTGCTGAAGGCTCTGGACGTCTTCCAGGGATGGCCTCCACTGGGCCTTCACCCCCTCTCCACAGCTCACCTGGCCCACAAGGGAGCGCAGTTCTCAGACACCTTGGGAGCTACCAGAGTTCTCCCTCACAACCCTCCCTGTGGGACTTCGCACAGGAGAACTGAACAGGTCTGGTCTGCTCTGGTGTATCTGGGATCCCAGCCATTCATGACCCCTGTGTTAGCTGTACCCTCCACAGAGGGTGGGCCAGGACCCCAGGAGGGACAGCAGAGTCAGCTCGCCTGTGCCCATTGGCTCTCCGCCGTGTGGCCCACCTTCTGCCAGTCCCCCCAGGCTGGGACTGCTGCCCCAACACACAGAAGATGCCTGGCTTCACCTATCTGCCTGCAGTTCCTGGCACGACACCACGCACTAGGGAGACGGCAGAGGATACTTGCAGCATGAATGAGCCAATGAGTAAGGTGGCTTCCCAGCAGAAGTGAATCAGAGGCATTTCCCACTCGGGCCAGTCGCCTGCCTGGTACTGGGAAAGAGAACAGAGATGCCAGGCCCGCTCTACCCATAACTGCAACCCAGGGAAGAGGCTAAGAACCCAGCCCTAGAGTCAGCCAGCCTGGTGTCACATCCCAGCCCTTCCACTCCCTAGCTGGGGCCTTTATTTCCTCATCTGTAGAATGGGGATGCAATATGATAGGCTGCCAGGAGGATTTGATGAAATGCTACCAGTAAGGGTCTTGTAAATTTCCTGGAACAGTGAAAGAACTCTTTGTGCAGGAAACTGTCCTAAGCACCTTGTAAATATCAATGCATTTAATATTATCCTTGCCTGTTATACTGCCTCTGACTGTTTTTTCTTTTTGTTTGATTAGTTGGTTTGGTTTGGGTTGGGCTGGGTTTTTGCTGTTAGTGTTATGGCTACCGAGTAAGTTTCTTTCTCTCCCTGAGCCTCAATGTTCTTACCTGCAAAATGGAGCAGTGGATGAAATGGCCTCTGAATCCAGTGTTTCCACAGCAGTCTAGCTCTGATTTCCCACCTCTTAGTCCACAGCAGTTGCTCAGACCTTTCTAAGTCCCCATGTGCAGAGTGGACTCCCACTGCAGGGACCTGAGCCAGGAGCCCGGCCTCTGTTGTCAGGAGAATACAGGCATGGTGGTCACCTTGCTTAATGGCAGGGGCTGGGGACCCACACAGCTATTCCCATCCCCACCTCGGTGCGTGCTGCCAACTCAGCTCTCACCTTCCCATCCAAGAGAGTCCTAGGAGATCAGAGATGAAAACCCAACGCTGCCAATTCCATTCATTCTTAAGCCAATAAGCATTTATTGAGTACCAACTATGTGCCAAGGGCTATGCAATGCTTTGGGTACAAGGCAGGGAACAAGACAGGAAGACTGCTGCCTTCATTGCTGGGGTGAGTCTACTGCAGGAAACAGAAAATAAACAAGTCAACAAATAAGAAACAAGTGGATTTCAGAAAGAAGAATCAGGGGCTATAATGATATAAAGAGTATAAGTCAGGTTAATAAGATAGAGAGTGCCTGGGAGGGTAGTCAAGGTGGGCCTTCCGGTGGAGGTGACTTAGGAGCCAACCAGAGGATGAGCTGGAGAATGGCTGGAGGCATGACCTGTTAAAGGAACAGGTCTGGGTGGCTAGAGTTCAGGAAGCATGGTGGCATCCGGCCACAGAGGTCAGCCGGGGTGGGGGGTGGGGGGGGTAGGGACAGGCCAGAGCAGCAAGTCAGCCTGAGTGGCTTGGATTTTCTTCAAGGTATATTTACCAGCACATAGGACCTGCTACATAATTTGTAGGGCCAAGTACAAAAGGGAAATGAAAGGCCCTTTTTTCAAAAAGTATTAAGAGTTTCAAGATGGCAACAAGAGAGCATTAAACCATGCACGGGGCACTTCTAAGCATAGGGCCCTGCCCGTGGAGCCAGCCTGGTCAGAAAAAAACTCTGTTGGCATTAGCAAAGCCTTCTTTAATTTGACAAATATGCATTGAGGGCTTAAAATAAGCCAGGCCCTGTGCCAGGCTCTGGGAATAACAAAAAAGTGAATGATGAAACCAAGAAAGCTACTCTGACCTTAATTTTTCCAATTAGATTTTCTCCACCACACATATCAGGCCAGAGGACTGACCCATCTGCACATATTTGATGGTGGTCCGCCCCACAGATAGAGGTTCAGGCCGTCCGCTGGATGGATTTGACTTGATTCCTTTGTAATAATGGGAATGGTTATCGTGCGTCCACCATATGCCCAGCACAGGCAGAAATCTCCACCTCCACCACCCATCAACAAGAACCAAGCAAGGGAGATGAAAACTCAAGCTTAAAGAAAAGGATGAGCTTTTCCAAATTCACACTGTTACTATGTGTGGGTATGTTGTGGGGGGAGAGGGGCTAGGACTTGGACCCAGCTCTCGTGAAATCCAGAAGCTCCACCTCTAAGTGTACAATCCTTACTCCTATGTACTGTGTGATTGTTCAAAGTAAAGACTGAGGTGCAAACTTCAGGAACCTTGACAGGAATTAATGTCTACTGAGGGCATACCATATGCCAAGCCCTACACCAAGCTCTCCACATAGATCTTTTCATTTTCTCCTATAAATAACCCGTGTAGAGAGTGTAATTTCTCCACTGCTCGTGGTGGCGAGACCGAGATTCAGAAAAGTTAAGTAACTTGTCCAGGGCCTCCCAGACAGTGTGCAATAGAGCTGGGGGCCAAGTCCAGCTGCGTGCCCCAGGGCTGGGTCCCCGCCACTGTCCTGCTCCTCTCTGTTTCTGCCAGGGCCCTGCACAGATCTTGCTGCTGTAGAACCCCCAGCCAGTGGGTCATTTTCTTGCTGCCAAGGTCAGAGCTCAGAAGTCCAAGGAGCCAGGCCCAGAGAGAAGGTCTGGGGGTTTGACCTGGTGTCAACATCAGGGCTGAAGATTGCTTCATGCCCGGCCCAAGAGGAACAGGAAAGTCTGACTTCTCCCCTTTACCATGGGAAAGAGCTCCTTTTCTAAAAAAAGCCAGGCCAGAACCATGAGTGTGACATGTCAGGCCCTTTCTGCTGCAGCTTTACTCTCTGTCTTGGCCTTTCGGCCAGGGGACAGGGCTATCTTGAAAGAGGAAGACTTGCGCACTCTTGGTTTCCTGGCCAAGGATCAGAGAGACTTCCCTAAAGAAAGCTCCTGGCAGAAAGGTTCTGGGGCCGGGCATGGCCTGGGAAGATTCTGTCCCTGCTCTGCAGAACAACCTCAGCTGGGACCCTCAAGTAGGACTGGCAGCAGCCCTTTTGCCCAGAAGAAAGCCCTGGGGAGCGGGCAGTGGCCTCCTGAGCCCCCAAACTGCAGAAAACCAGGCAGCCTGTGGAAATAGCTGCACAGATGCAGGAGGTCCATGGCAGTCCCAGCTCTGCCCTGGGGTGGTCGGCTCCCCTGCAGAGCAGAAGCTGTGTCCGCCAGAGCCCAGGAGAAATCCCACACCGCCCCTCAATAGTTGTGGGAACCCTGCAAGTCCACTAACCACTTTGAGCCTCCTAATCCCCATTTTCCTGAATTAAATGATCGAACCTATATTAAGGAAGAGATAAAAATCATAGGGAAATATATTTCTTGGTCTCAGGGAAGGTGCAGAAGCAGAAGAGTAGCTGAGCGAAATAATGAGAGTTCACGGGCCCAGGAGTGTAATACAGCCTCCTGGATTTCTGAACCTGGGGTCTAAGTTCCAAAAAGAAAGAATCTCGTGTCCTTTGCTACCAGCATTCCCCCATGCCCGCCTTCTTTCCATTCATTTGTCCTACATCTCTACTGTAAGTCTGTTTGAGTCCTTGGACCTGAAAGAGTGTCTACCTGTTCCTGGAACTATGAAGTCCTCAAAATTCTTAGGTCCTGATCTTCTTCCTTCGAAACCTTGTAAGGGCTTCTCCAATTTTGGAAAGCAAGCAAAGGAGAAGTCTCAAGACAGCTGATTTTCATATTCTTTATAAGGAATCGGTTACTTTTTCCTTGATGTTTATAGTATAAAAATAAGTTATCGTTAGAATTGAAATATTCTGTGTCCAAAACTCTGAGGGCCTTTTTTGTTTTTTTCTTGGAATGTGAGTCTGTCCATTTTGCATACTCCACGAAGTCCTCCAAAAGTATCGTAAAAAGCTATCCCTTCTTAAGCATTTAGAGCCCCATTTTAAAAATTAACTCCCGTAATTCTTCCAAAAATCTTTATCATAAGGTGATTAATGAGAGTCACAGCTAAGAGTACTGGACTTGAAGTCAGGCTTTCTGGGTTTCTCCCCAGACTTGGTGCTTTCCAACTGAGTGACCTTGGACGTGTTACCCAAGCATCCTGAGCCTCAGTTTCTCATCTGTGACATGGGGGTGGCAATGGTACCTCCCTGGTGGTCACGGCTGGCACGAGTAGGTAGCACAAAACACAGTGCCTGGCACTACCAGGGACTCTACGAAGGCTGACTTAGTATGAAGCGCCCTTTCCTTTTAAGGAAATTGGGGCTTTGGAAAGCTAAGCAACTTGCCCCAAATCATACAACTGGAGATGACAGAGTGGGGATTCTAACCCAATTTTTCTAAACCTAAAGTCTACCCCTGTAACTATCAGAGTTTGATGCCTTATGCCCAACATCAGCCTGGCATGGAGTAAGCTGAGAATCAAGAGAACTTCGCCTCTTAGCCACCATCTTGCACAGGGAACAGAAGAGAAGCTAAAGGGTGGCTTCACGCACCTTCCCCACCCAGGCCTTGGGATCAGCAATCCTTAGCCTGTCTGCACGAACCAGGCTTCATCTTCCAGAAGCCACACCAGATGGCAGGCTGACCCACATGGGCCTGTCTGCGTCACTGCCTTTTATCACTGTTGTCATGTTCTTTAGATTTACTTCATTGGTGAGGAACTGGGCCTGCTCCTTCTAATACACTGAAAAATTATATGTATTATATAAAATAGAAACATTACGTATATATGAA